TCTTCACTCAAAACTGCTCTAGAGGAGTTGTACACCCCTAGCTGCCACTGCTATTCAGTGGCCTAAAATAAAATGAAATGTTTCGCTCGGGATGACCGCTGCAAAGTATTATCTGTATTTTTATTTAGTGTGCTGATCTTAAAGGTGCATTGAAAAATGTGATACTCCGACTGATGCTCCTGTTGTTTGTGGAGTGACTCATGCAGCCAGCTGTGGCTCTAGGGTTTGGTGTTACATGTTATTCATGTAGTTTGTTAAAAATTCGGTCACAGTTCCTATGATCACTGTTACATTGCATTTATGGCTTAATTTTGGTGATTTCTAAAAGTTTTTTGGTTTGGCCATGTTTTTGTTTATTGTAGTACGGAGTTAGACTGATGGCCTTAATCTAAGTTTTCTTGTTGTTGTTTGACTTGCATCCCACTGGGATTTTTGCACACAGCGTTGGTGTACGGTGCTTTTTCAGGAATATTTTGATGTTTTTTCCTGGATTTTCTGTTTGCACATGCACAACGTCACTTTAAGATGTTTTCTTGTTCATGTTTTTTTTGTTGCAGTTGCACCCAATTCAAGAGCCGAATGGCTCACAGGGCTATACCAAATAAATGAAACTATGAAACTATCCAGAGCTGCCGTCTGGCCGCTGTGCTGGCTACAAGCACCATGGAGTACAGCCGATTTTAGAATTGGCCTTCACTTCATGGCATTACTCACATCCACCACAGCGTTGCCGTCCTGCACCAGCGAGATATACACACACACACAAAGACAACAATATCTCGTATAGACTTAACAGACTATTCGCGCAAGTGCTGTTAGCAAGCACCTATGAAGGCAAACTTGGCACACGAGGTGGGTGGCCAGCACCACGCACGACCACCTTTGTCTCCCCATTTGCGATCTTTACACACCCACCGCACCAGGTACTCATTTTTTGGCTGAATCAACCTAGATAAGGCCCAGGACCGGTTTACCTAATCGTCACTGGTGTTGGCTGTGATCGGGAATGAAACTTGGCCCACCAGGTTCTTAGCAGAGTGCTAACCACTACACCACCGGTCAGATACACAGACACACACAGATCCAGACACACAGATACACACGAATAAACACATAGCCACGTGTACATCCCTTATCGCTCACCCTCCCTCCATCTCTCTCCCCCTCTCCCTCTATCTCTCTCCTTATCTCATCCCCCTCTCGCCGATCAGAGGAGGCTCCTGCCCACGTGATGCACAACGCCCCCCTCCCTCCCACCCACCTCCCGCCTGTTTAGATCGAGTAACCTTTAGATTCAGTAACTGGCGACACCCCCTCGAGCAGCAGTGACTGCAACTAAGCGGTTTCCCGTAGCCGTTTGTGTCAGTCTCTCTCTTGCGTCGGATTTGAGGAATCTTGTCCCACTCCTCATTACAATAACTCCGTCGCCTTGCATGGGGCAGCTCGCTTCACGTCCTGTCCCCCACAACATTTCCACGGGGGGGGGGGGGGGGGGGGGGGGGGGTTAGGTTCCCGACTTTGACCTAGGCCCATTGTAAAAAGTGGAATTTCTTCCTCCGCGGCCATTCTGTTTCATAGATCCGCTTTGTTATGCCGAGGATCATTGACTCGCTGCAAGGCACACGTTCGGTTGAGCTTCAAAGCTCACGGGCGGACGGGCCTGACCATTCTCCTCCAGTCGTCTGATACAATGCAGAATTCGTGGCTGTGAAAGAAGACTCTGGCCATTCTCTTTATTCACAGGGTCGAGGTCTTCATTTCCCGGCCACGGGTCCACACCTTCATCCTCGCTCTCTCTCCCGCGACGCCCCCAACTCCGCCTCCCGCTCCCTCTTTTAACCTCTTCCTGGCTCAGCCCCTCGTCCCACTCCATCTCCACCAATTGTCGCCTCTCTCTTACCCTTGCCTTAACTGTCCCACCTGAGGCCCACCCACCCGCTCACCCACCCACCCACTCACCCACCCACTCACCCACCCACCCGCTCCCTCTTTTAACTTCTTCCTGGCCCCGCACCTCATCCCACTTCTTTTCCACCAGTCGTCGCCTACCTCTCACCTGGCCTAACCGCCCCACCTAACGCTCGCCCCAACCCTGCAGCTCTTTCCCCTTTTGAATGTTCCGGCCAATCCTCTTGGCTCCCCGTGCTCCCTAGCCAATCAGAGAGTGTGGAGCATTTGCTCCCGCCTTCTTGATCACCCTGTCCCAGGGATCGTGTGGGACACTCACTGCAGCTCTGTCAACGATGGGGCAAGCCGTCCAGGTCCTGCCCGAGGCAGCAAAGCAGCCACGGAAACCATGAGCACATTCCCACCATGACTACCACCACCACCACCACACTTGGTGGCTGGGACAAGGTTCTCCCGTTCAAAAGCAGCGTTTGGGTTTCTCAACGAGGCCCAAAAAAGTTCTCCCCTTGACTCGTCTGTCCAGGGAACGTCATTGTAGACGTCTCGTGGATCGTCCCATGCGCTCTGTGGTGAACTTCAGACGGACGGCAGTGTCCTCTTATTGGAGAGCGGTGGCTTTCTCCTCGCTGTCCTTCCACAACCACCATTTTCGTTCAGTCCGTTTTCTCATAGTCGAGTCCACGAACACTCATGTTAGCCGCGGCGAGTGGCCTGCAGATCCTTGGACGTTTCTCTGGGGGCTCTTGGCGACTTCCTTGACGGTTTTCCAGTCTGTTCTTGGGAGAGACTTTGGCAGGACGACCGCTCCTGGGCACAGTGGCTGTGGTCTGGAACTTTCTCCATTTGTAGACTGCCTGTCCTGCCAGTGGATTGGTGGAGCACCCCCCCCCCCTCCAGATTCCTTTAACCCTTTCCATACCGATGGGCATCAATTACTTCACCCCCACCCCCCCCCCGAGATCCTCAGAGGAGATTGCTTTTGACCGTGGCATGACGTTGTTTCCACACGCACCTGCAGGGTGAAGACCAAACTCACAGTTCTGATCTTTACGTAGGGTATGTGACCTCCCAAACTCACCCCCGAAGATCTACCCAAATTGTTTAAACACCCAATTGAGCCAATGAAACTAGGAGATGTTTCCACTTATATTTTCACATGTACCCCCCCCCCCCCCCCCGAGCCTTAATTACTCATTGTTTGCTTAATTCACGCGTAATTTTGTTTCAAAATACGTGGGAATTGGTGGATATAAACCCTATTGGATGTGTCAGAAAAGACCTGGTTTTGATTCTATAAGGCTATCGTGGTAAAACTACGGAATTTCCCTCATCATCATCGTGGTGCGCTAACTTTCCCTCGGCACTGTGCACGTTGAACTTCTTTCGCACCACCGTACGTGACCAACTAAGGCTACATCGGAGGTGGTGGGGGAAGGACAACAAACTAAACGACACAATAACAACAAGCAGCAGTTCCAAACAAGCGAGCTGTTCCATTCATCAACCCAAGAAGGAAGTGCCGTGATGTTGCCAGATGGGCGAACGTCCGTTCTTTATTACAGCCGCCAACCCCATCGATCGTTCCAATCACCAAGCCATCGCTCGTTCCAATCACCAAGCCATCGATAGTTTAAATCAATCACAAAGCCATCGATAGTTTAAATCAATCACAAAGCCATCGATAGTTTAAATCAATCACCAAGCCGTCGATCGTTCCAATCATCGAGCCATCGATCGTTCAAATCAATCTCCAAGCCATCGATTGCTCAAATCAATCACCAAGCCATCGATTGTTCAAATCAATCACCAAGCCATCGATCGTTTAAATCAATCACCAAGCCACCGATTGTTCAAATAAATCACAAAGCCATCGATTGTTCTGTTGCAATCTACACAAACGCTCCAGCTGGTTGATGTGGGGGATGATGCGGTAGAGCTGAGATGGGGGTTGAGTTACTCCACTCTGTCTCTCTCTCCCCATCTACATCTCTCTCCGTCTCTCTCCATCTCTATCTTAAGCTCTATCTCTCTATTAATCTCCATCTCTCTCTCAGTTACTCTCTGCATCTCCACCTCTCTCTCCCCACTGCTTCTCTCTCCGTCTTAATCCAAATCCATCTCTCTCCCCCCATCTCTCTAGATCTCTCCATCTCTCTCCCCCCATCTCTCTCCCTCCATCTTTCTCTCCCCATCTGCTTCTCTCTCCGTCTCAATCCATCTCCCTCCATCTCTGTGTCTCTCTCCCCCCATCTCTCTCTCCATCCATCTCTCTAGATCTCTCCATCTCTCTCTCTCCATCCATATCTCTCCCCCATCTCTCTCTCTCCATCCATCTCTCTCCATCTCGCAGTGTATATCCATCTCTCCCCCCCCCATCTCTCTCTCTCCATCCATCTCTCTCCCCCCATCTCTCTCTCCATCCATCTCTCCCCCCCCATCTCTGTCTCTCTCTCCATCTCGCTGTGTATCCCCATCTCTCCCGCTCCGTGTGTCTCTCTCTCCGTTACTCTCTGCATTTCCACCTCTCTCTCCCCAACTGCATCCCTCTCTCCCCTTCACACCCTCCCTTTCCCCCAGCAGAAAAATAAAATCAGGCGAGGGGTGAGAAACAACAATAATAAAGCGTTTGTATATTAATTCATATACAAACTATGTTTATAAACAATACGACCGTACTGACGCTAAAAAGCTGACAGCAACACAAACAACCCCAACACTTAGGATGGTTAAGCCTCGGATTGTGATGTACAAAGGGTTTGACACTGCTTCACTTTAGCAGATATTGTTGAACGCACGCGTGTGTGTTTGTACGCCTGTGTGCGCGTGCGCGCGTGTATATACATATAGACAAAGATCCCCCCAGGGTAGCCTCTAGCAGGGCTGTACGGGGGCAAGTGCTCTTGATGTGCATGCACAAAAGCACACACGCACACACACGCACGCACGCACACAGAAAACGATCCCCCGTGTAGCCTTCACAGACTGTTGGGGCAAGTATTTGTGTGTGTGTATGAGTGTGTGTGTCTGTGTGTATATATCTGTATGTGTGTATATCTGTGTGAGTATCTGTGTAATATCTGTGTGTATCTGTGTGTGTGTATATATGTGTGTGTGTATCTGTGTGTCTGCATGTATCTGTGTGTGTGTAGCTGTGTGTTTGTGTCTATCTGTATGTATCCATGTGTATCTGTGTGTGTCCCTGTGTGTGTCTCTGTACACAACTCAGTGGAGTTACTGAAATGCCCCTAGGGCTTGTGACTGGCCTTGATGCCCTGAGGGAACGGGCGGGGTGAGGTACAGGAAATTGCAGCAGACGAAGAGGGGGAATGTCACCAGCTTAGAGTCCAGCACCATAATGGCCTGCTCCTACACACACAGACACACACAGATATACATACACACACAAGATACACACATGAAGATATATACACACACAGACACACACACGAAGATATATACACACAGACAACCACACACACATATACATACACACAGATATACATACACACAGATACACACACACAGACACACACAGATACACACAGATATAATACAAATACACATACACACAGAGACAACCACACACACATAGAAATACATACACACACAGATACACACACAAATACACATACACACACAGATACACACACGAAGATATACAACAACCGCCATTCGCCACTAAGTGGCGGTGACGTCACCACGACGCTTGGGCCAGGCTATGTGCACCCTGAGGCCACGTGAAGTGTCGAACGCCCGCTGGCAGGAGGTCACGGGGCAGACCCAGGTGCCACGGGTCGACTGACTGAGATGACTGAGATGACTGACTGATGCACCACCTGTGCCCCTTACTGTGCCAACCTGCTGTGCTTTAGCCACCCGGCACTCCGCTCGTTGTTGTGAGCGTCGCTCCTCTGCCCTCCGTTGTTGTTGGAGGGCGACTACCTCCAACTGCCCAGTAGCATCCTTCACGAGCCTCCTCCACAGAGGCCAATCTTGACACCGCTGGTACCAGTCATCGGCAAGTCCACTCAGCTCTACGTCCTCCTGTACCACATCACTCCATCTCTTCTCTAGCCCGTGCCGCGCCCGCTTAGCCCCCTCAATCCGGCCGAACAAAAGCTGTTTCGGCATGCGGTGGCTGGGCATGCGGGCTACATGACCCAGCCATCGCAGCCTTGCCCGCTGGAGGAGCTCACCGATGGGACCTTGCCCAGACCTTTCAAAGATTTGTGAGCTCCTCACACAATCCAGCCTGGTTAAACCCAGGATGGATCGTAGGCAGCCTAGCCTAAATGTTTCTAACCGGCGAAGATGGTCCATTAGGGGGGTACACGTTTCGCAAGCGTAGAGAAGGGAGGGAATGACCGTGGCCGAGAAGACCTGAAGCTTAGTGCGGAGCGACAGACCAGGTAGCTTCCACACAGACATACAAACACATACACAGACACACATACAGACATTCAAATACCAAGACACACACACGCACCGGTGTCTCCCCCGTGTCTCCCCATGTCCCCCCGTATCTCCCCGTGTCTCTCCCGTGTCTCCCCCGTGTCTCCTCCGTGTCTCCCTGCATCTCCCCACGTCTCCCTGTGTCTCACCCGGGTCTCACCGCGTCTCCTCGTGTCTCTACGCGTCTCCTCCATATCTCTCCCCATGTCTCCCCGTGCTTCCCACGTGTCTCCCCCGTGTCTCCCGCGTGTCTCCCCACATCTCCCCCGTGTGTCCCCCGTATCTCTCACCGTGTCTCCTCCGTGTCTCCCTGCATCCCGCGTCTCCCCGTGTCTCACTCGTGTCTCCTCCGTGTCTCCGCGCGTCTCCCCGCGTCTCCCCATGTCTCCCCGCGTCTCCCCGTGTCTCCCCCGTGTCTCCTCCATATCTCTCTCATGTCTCCCCGTGTCTCACCTGTGTCTCCTCCGAGTCTCCTCCATATCTCTCCCATGTCTCCCCGTGTCTCACCCGTGTCTCCCCATGTCTCCCTGCATCTCCCCGTGTCTCCACGTGTCTCTATGTGTCTCTATGTGTCTCGTCCATATCTCTCCCCGTGTCTCCACCATGTCTTCCCGTGTCTCCCCGCGTCTCCCCGCGTCGCTCCCATGTCTTCCCGTGTCTCCCCACGTGTCCCCCCGTGTCTCCCCGTGTCTCCCCGCGTCTTCTCGTGCCTCTCCGCGTCTTACCTGGTCTTTCTCTAGAGACAGGGTTTGGTAACCGGTTGAATGTTGGAACTGAATTTTTCCAGCGGCATCCAAAGAGATGACTCTCAACCTACAAAGACAAAGATCCCCCGTATAGCCTCAAACAGACTGTTGGGGCAAGTGCTGTTAGTAGCGAGTAGCAGCGCCTATGAAGGCTACCGGCACTGTGGCACACACAGAGGGGGTAGATGGCCAGCACCACGCACGGCCGCCTTTGTCTCCCCCCCCCAGTGCTAGCGATGTTCACTACACTACCGCTGCACCAGGTACTCATTTGAGGCTGAGTCGACCTAGGGGAGGCCCAGCATTGCTGCAGATAATTGTCACAACCTATGTGCGCGCACGCACAGACAAAACACACGCACACACAGACAAAACACACGCACACACAGACAAAGATACCCCCGTGTAGCCTTAACAGACTGGAGGGGCCACTATTTCAGTGTGTATCTGTGTGTGTACCTGTGTGTGTATCTGTGTGTGTACCTGTGCGTGTCTGTGTGTGTGTCTCTGTGTATCTGTGTGTGTATCTGTGTGTGTATCTGTGTGTGTACCTGTGTGTGTATCTGTGTGTGTATCTGTGTGTGTATCTGTGTGTGTACCTGTGTGTGTACCTATGTGTGTATCCAGAGTCTGAGACCAGGAAAGGCACCGGGCAGAGATGATCTCCCAAGTGAAATGCTGAGGGAGGGTGGCGTTTGTGCACAGAACGCCCTATATGACATCATAACAACAGTCTGGACCACTGGACGGGTTCCGCAGGATTGGAAGGATGCCCTGGTGGTCCCCCTCTTTAAGAAGGGGGACCGCACAGACTGTAACAACTACAGGGGCATCTCATTCCTCAGTGTGCCGGGAAAGGTCCTGGCAAGGATTATTCAGCATCGCCTTGCCAGGCACGCTGAGGAGAGGCTTGCGGCGCCCCAATGCGGAATCAGGAAAGGGCGGTCCTGCACAGATGCCATATTTTCTGTCCATCTGCTACAGCAGAGGTGTAGGGAATTCCAACAAGACCTACATCTCTGCTTTATTGACCTGGTCAAGGCATATGATACCATCAGTAGGCCTGGGCTCTGGGTCGTTCTTCGTGCTTTTGGAGTACCTGACCCTCTGCTCACGATCATTAAGGACCTTCATGATGGTGAGCGGGCCCGGGTAAAACTACGTGGCCGGGAGTCAGAGCCATTCCCTGTACACCTTGGGGTGCGACAGGGATGTCCTCTGGCTCCCACATTATTTAACATCTATTTTGACCACATAGTTCGTGAAGCCTTCAATAGCTGTACCGGGGGAATCTCCATATGGTACAGCTATAATGGGAGGCTGATCGATGCCCGGGTGCGGTCAAGGGATGGCTCCCTATTGCTCAACCACGTTATGTATGCTGATGATTTGGTAATAGCTGCTCAGTCAGAGGAGGAGTTGGAGACGCTGCTGCTGAGACTGGAGCGTGCCACTAAGAGGTGGGGCCTTACCATCAGCCCCACCAAAACTAAGCACCTGCCTGGGTATTTTGTACCATCGGACACTCCACCCCCACAACTCCCGATCGGTGATGGGGCAATTGTGGTGAGAGTGGAGAGTTTCCCATACCTGGGCAGTGTGCTTATGACTGGCTCCAGTTTAACAGCAGAGGTCTCACTCCGAATCAGTCGAGCGGCAATATCTTTTCATCGGTTGCGTAACGCTGTGTGGAAGCTACCTGGTCTGTCGCTCCGCACTAAGCTTCAGGTCTTCTCGGCCACGGTCATTCCCTCCCTTCTCTACGCTTGCAAAACATGGACCCCCCTAATGGAACATCTTCGCCGGTTAGAAACATTTAGGCTGGCCTGCCTACGATCCATCCTGGGTTTAACCAGACTGGATTGTGTGAGGAGCTCACAAATCCTTGAAAGATCTGGGCAAGGTCCCATCGGTGAGCTCCTCCGGCGGGCAAGGCTGCGATGGCTGGGTCATGTAGCCCGCATGCCCAGCCACCGCATGCCGAAACAGCTTTTGTTCGGCCGGATTGAGGGGGCAAAGCAGGCGCGGCACGGGCTAGAGAAGAGATGGAGTGATGTGGTACAGGAGGACGTGGAACTGAGTGGACTTGCCGATGACTGGTACCAGCGGTGTCAAGATCGGCCTTTGTGGAGGAGGCTCGTGAAGGATGCTACTGGGCAGTTGGAGGTAGTCGCCCTCCAACAACAACGGAGGGCGGAGGAGCGACGCTCACAACAACGAGCGGAGCGCCGGGTGGCTAAAGCACAGCAGGTTGGCACAGTAGGGGGCACAGGTGGTGCATCAGCCAGTCATCTCAGTCAGTCGACCTGTGGCACCTGGGTCTGCCCCGTGACCTCCTGCCTGACACTTCACGTGGCCTCAGGGTGCACATAGCCTGGCACAAGCGTCGTGGTGACGTCACCGCCACTTAGTCGCGAATGGCGGTTGTTGTTGTGTGTAGGTGTGTGCTTACGTGTGTGTGTGTATCTGTGTGTGTATCTGTGTGTGTGTGTGTGTATCTACGTGTGTGTGTGTATCTGTGTGTGTGTATCTTGCCTGTAACAGAGTGATCTCGTTGGAGCCAGGCTCACGGCCCCACTGTACTGCTGTGTGTAGGTGTTCCTCTTGAACATGAACAGCCGATTGGAGTAGCTGACCAGCAGGTCCAAGCCAAACGAATAGCCGGTCCACCTCCAGCAGTACTGACAGAGAGACACGGAGACACGGGGACAGAGACACGAGGATGAGAGAGACACGGGGAGAGAGAAACACGGAGAGAGACACGGGGGGAGAGAGAGAGAGACAGTGAGAGAGACACGGGGACACGGGGAGAGAGACATGGGGAGAGAGACACGAGCAGAGAGAGACACGCGGAGAGAGAGTGGGTAAGCGTGTGAGTGAGCGTGTAAGTGAGCATGTGGGTATGTGGGTGAGCGTGTGGGTGAGCATGTGGGCGAGCGTGTGAGGTGAGGAGTCTTACTTCACCGTCTTTGTTCAGCTTCCTTCCGCAACGCAAGCTTTGCCTCTCCAAAGCCTCCAAGTCCAACTCAACCGGCCTGGAGAGAGAGACAGAGAGAAAGACAGAGAGAGAGACAGGGAGAGAGACACGGAGAGAGACAGAGAGAAAGACAGAGAGAGAGACAGGGAGAGAGACAGAGAGAGACAGGGAGAGAGACACGGAGAGAGACAGAGAGACACAGAGAGAGTGATAGAGACAGAAAGAGACAGAGACACGGAGAGAGACAGAGAGAGAGACAAGGAGAGAGACAGAGAGAGAGACAAGGAGAGAGACAGAGAGAGAGACAGGGAGAAAGACAGAGAGACACGAAGAGAGTGATAGAGACAGAGACACGGAGAGAGACAGCGAGAGAGAGACACGGAGAGAGACAGAGAGAAAGACAGAGAGAGAGACAGGGAGAGAGACACGGAAAGAGAGAGCAAGAGACATGGAGATTATGTGTATCCATTTGTGTGTCTATGTATCTGTGTGTGTGTCTGTGTGTGTGTCTGTGTGTGTATCTGTGTGTATCTGTGTGTGTCTGTGTGTGTCTGTGTGTGTGTGTCTGTGTGTGTGTGTATCTGTGTGTGTCTGTGTGTGTGTCTGTGTGTGTGTGTCTGTGTGTGTGTGTCTGTGTGTGTCTGTGTGTATCTGTGTATGTGTGTGTGTCTGTGTATCTGTGTGTGTGTGTCTGTGTGTGTGTGTCTTTGTGTGTGTCTGTGTGTGTGTGTGTCTGTGTATATGTGTCTGTGTGTGCGTGTCTGTGCGTGTCTGTGTGTGTCTGTGTGTGTGTCTGTGTGTGTATCTGTGTGTGTGTGTCTGTGTGTGTGTGTCTGTCTGTGTGTATCTGTGTGTGTGTCTGTGTGTCTGTGTGTGTGTCTGTGTGTGTGTCTGTTTGTGTGTGTTTACCCCTTGTCTAGGTCTTGCTCCACTCTCAGCATCGTGAGCCACTGAGTCCGGTAGAGCGGCATCAGCCACTCTACACACACACAGACACACACACACAGATACACACACAGATACACATACACACAGATATACACAGACACATACAGACACACACATACACAGAGATACACACAGACACATACACACAGATACACACAGACACATACACACAGACACACATACACACAACAACAACAACAACCGCCATTCGCCACTAAGTGGCGGCGACGTCACCACGACGCTTGTGCCAGGCCACAAGAACACACACCTACACACACACGTAAACACCCACACACATACGTAGACGCACACACGTAAACACAAACACCTACACACACACGTAAACACACACACCTACACACACACACACACGTAAACACACACACCTACACACAACAACAACCGCCATTCGCGACTAAGTGACGGTGACGTCACCACAACGTTTGTGCCAGGCCATGTGCACCTTGAGGCCATATGAAGTGTCGAACGCCCGCTGGCAGGAGGTCACAGGGCAGACCCAACTGCCACGGGTCGACTGACTGAGATGACTGGCTGATGCACCACTTGTGCCCCCTACTGTGCCACCTACTGTGCCAATCTGCTGTGTTTTAGCCACCCGGCGCTCCGCTCGTTGTTGTGAGCGTCGCTCCTCCGCCCTCCGTTGTTGTTGGAGGGTGACTGCCTCCAACTTCCCAATAGCGTCCTTCACGAGCCTCCTCCACAGAGGCCGATCTTGACACCGCTGGTACCAGTCATCGGCAAGTCTACTCAGCTCCACGTCCTCCTGTACCACATCACTCCATCTCTTCTCTAGCCCGTGCCGCGCCCGTTTAGCCCCCTCGATCCGGCCGAACAGAAGATGTTTCGGCATGCAGTGGCTGGGCATGCGGGCTACATGACCCAGCCAACGCAGCCTTGCCTGCCGGAGGAGCTCACCGATGGGACCTTGCCCAGATCTTTCAAGGATTTGTGAGCTCCTCACACAATCCAGCCTGGTAAGCCCAGGATGGATCGTAGGCAGGCCAGCCTAAATGTTTCCAACCGGCGAAGATGCTCCATTGAAGGGGTCCACGGTTCGCAAGCGTAGAGAAGGGAGGGAATGACCGTGGCCGAGAAGACCTGAAGCTTAGTGCGGAGCGACAGACCAGGTAGCTTCCACACAGCTTTACGCAACCGATGAAAAGATATTGCCGCTCGACTGATTCGGAGTGAAACCTCTGCTGTTAAACTGGAGCCGGTCATAAGCACACTGCCCAGGTAGGGGAAACTCTCCACTCTCTCCACAACTGCCCCATCACCGATTGGGAGTTGTGGGGGTGGAGTGTCCGATGGTACAAAATACCCAGGCAGGTGATTAGTTTTAGTGGGGCTGATGGTAAGGCCCCATCTCTTAGTGGCACGCTCCAGTCTCAGCAGCAGCGTCTCCAACTCCTCCTCTGAATGAGCAGCTATTACCAAATCATAGGCATACATAACGTGGTTGAGCCATAGGGAGCCATCCCTTGACCGCACCCAGGCATCGATCAGCCTCCCATTATATCTATACCAAATGGAGTTTCCCCCGGTACAGCTATTGAAGGCTTCACGAACTACGTGGTCAAAATAGATGTTAAATAATGTGGGAACCAGAGGACATCCCTGTCATAACCCCAAGGTGTACAGGGAATGGCTCTGACTCCCGGCCACGTAGTTTTACCCGGGCCCGCTCACCATCATGAAGGTCCTTAATGATCGTGAGCAGAGGGTCAGGTACTCCAAAAGCACGAAGAACAACCCAGAGCCCAGGCCTACTGATGGTATCATAGGCCTTGACCAGGTCAACAAAGCAGAGATGTAGGTCTTGTTGGAATTCCCTACACCTCTGCTGTAGCAGACGGACAGAAAATATGGCATCTGTGCAGGACCGCCCTTTCCTGATTCCGCATTGGGGCTCCGCAAGCCTCTCCTCAGCGTGCCTGGCAAGGTGATGTTGAATAATCCTTGCCAGGACCTATCCCGGCACACTGAGGAGTGAGATGCCCCTGTAGTTGTTACAGTCTGTGCGGTCCCCCTTCTTAAAGAGGGGGACCACCAGGGCATCCTTCCAATCCTGCGGAACCTGTCCAGTGGTCCAGACTGTTGGTATTATGCCATATAGTGCAGTCTGTGCACAACGCCACCCTCCCTCAGCATTTCGCTTAGGAGATCATCTCTGCCCGCTGCCTTTTCTGGTCTCAGACTCCGGATCGCCTTCAGTACAACAGGTACTTCAGCCAGCCACTCACAGGGGGTGACTTCTTCCAATATTTGAGGCACCGCAGCCTCAGCAGGGTCATCCTCACTTTGTGCCACGATGTTTTCCTGGCTGAGGGATTTTCCCTCCCCCAGGACCTCACAGAAATGCTCAGCAAATCTGCAACCCTGCTCCTGAAGGTCGGAGATTGGATCACCGTTTTTTACCCTAATGATGGTAATAAGTGTGGCGCTGCAGGTTACTTTTTTGATGGCGTTAAATAGAGATTTGTGATCGCGGGCCACTGAGGCAGACTCCATCTCCTCAGCAACCCGTGACCACCACCCATCCTTGCAGCGCCTCACGGCTCTCCGAACCTCCGAGCGAAGGCTGCGGTAAGCCTCCTCATTCTCTGACGTGGGATTCTGTAGGCGATGACAGTGGGCCTGTCGCTTTTTCTCAACCATCCTGAACACCTCCTCTGTCAGCCAGAGTCTCTGGGGAGGTCTGGACCGCGTACCCAAAGCAGCCATTGCAGCTGCATGAGTCACAGGCCTAAACCTCGCCCATTTGCCCTCGACATCAGGAGGAGTGGGGGATGATGCCAATCCCAGCCGCAAGCAATGATGAAATTCTCGCTTGCAACTTTCATCAGATAACTGAGACAAGGCCACTTTAGGTTGGAATGGGGTCCTGGGTGTACACCCACCACCGGTGTGGAAGAATGGCAGGCGCATCTTACAGATGACTAGTCGATGGTCAGAGGGCAGACACACACAGACAAAGACACACACACAGACACACGCAGATACACACACAGACAGACACACAGACACACACACAGATACACACACAGATACACACACCAAGACGGGTCTGTCTCTGTGTGTCTCTGTGTCTGTGTGTGTGTCTATCTCTGTGTCTATCTCTGTGTCTATCTCTGTGTCTATCTCTGTGTTTGTATCTCTCTGTGTTTGTGTGTGTCTCTGTGTCTATCTGTATGTGTCTGTGTGTGTCTCTATGTCTATCTGTGTGTGTCTATCTGTATGCGTCTCTGTGTCTATCTGTGTGTGTCTCACCATCCGGTACAAGTCTGTCTCTCTCCACGATGCCGCTAGACGCCAGGTCGTTCAGGACGTGTCTCTGTGTATGTCTCTTGCATCTATCTGTGTCGATCTCTGTCTCTGTGTCTATCTGTATGTGTCTATCTGTGTATGTGTCTATTTGTGTGTGTCTATCCCTGTGTTTCTGTGTGTTTGTGTGTCTCTGTGTTTGTGTGTGTCTCTGTGTCTATCTGTATGTGTCTGTGTGTGTCTCTGTGTCTATCTGTGTGTATCTATCTATGTGTCTATCTCTGTGTTTCTGTGTCTGTCTGTCTGTGTGTCTCTGTGTTTGTGTGTGTCTCTGTGTCTATCTGTATGTGTCTGTGTGTCTCAGTGTCTATCTGTGTGTATCTATCCGTGTGTGTCTGTGTGTCTATCTGTGTGTCTATCTGTGTGTGTGTCTGTGTCTTATCTGTATGTGTCTCTGTGTCTATCTATGTGTGTCTCACCATGCGGTACAAGTCTGTCTCCCTCCACGATGCCGCTAGACGCCAGGTCGTTCAGGAAGTGTCTCTGTGTATGTCTGTGTCTATCTTTGTGTCTATCTTTGTGTCTCTGTGTCTATATGTATGTGTCTCACCATGCGGTACAAGTCTGTCTCTCTCCACGATGCCGCTAGACGCCAGGTCGTTCAGGACGTGCTGCAGTCGAACGCTCCGGAATGCTTGCGCGTACACACGCACACACGCCCTGTCCAGCACCCAACCAGCAGCCGAGGAACCTGACAACCACAACCACCCCAACAACCACCACCATCACCACCACAACAACCACCATCACCACCACCACCACCACCACCACCACAAAAACCACAATCACCACCACCTCAACAACCATCACCACAAAAACCACCACCACCACTACAACAACCAGTAAACGTAACGACCACCACCACCCCCCCCCCTCTCCCCCCCTCCATCTCCTTCCCTCACCGTCCTCCCTCTGCGCCTTGAGCCAAGCGTCCGTGTCTGTCGCCAGCTCCTTCAGAGAGCCCTCCCACGTGGGGGATACCTGGAGGAACAGCCACTGAGAGACACACACAGATAGACACACACAGATACAGATACAAACACACAGATATACACACACAGATAGACACACAGACAGATAGACACACAGATACAGATACACATACACAGATAGACACACACAGATACAACACGAACAACCGCCAATCGCCACTAAGTGGCGGTGATGTCACCACGACGCTTGTGCCAGGCCATGTGCACCTTGAGGTCACGTGAAGTGTCGAACGCCCGCTGGCAGGAGGTCACGGGGCAGGCCCAGGAGCCACGGGTCGACTGACTGAGATGACTGGCTGATGCACCACCTGTGCCCCCTACTGTGCCAACCTGCTGTGCTTTAGCCACCCGGCGCTCCGCTCGTTGTTGTGAGCGTCGCTCCTCCGCCCTCCGTTGTTGTTGGAGGGCGACTGCCTCCAACTGCCCAGTAGCGTCCTTCACGAGCCTCCTCCACAGAGGCCGATCTTGACACCACTGGTACCAGTCATCGGAAAGTCCACTCAGCTCCACGTCCTCCTGTACCACATCACTCCATCTCTTCTCTAGCCTGTGCCGCACCTGTTTAGCCCCCTCGATCCGGCCGAACAAAAGCTGTTTCGGCATGCGGTGGCTGGGCATGCGGGCTACATGACCCAGCCAACGCAGCCTTGCCAGCCGGAGGAGCTCACCGATGGGACCTTGCCCAGATCTTTCAAAGATTTGTGAGCTCCTCACACAATCCAGCCTGGTTAAACCCAGGATGGATCGTAGGGAGGCTAGTCCAAATGTTTCTAACCCGCGAAGATGTTCCATTTGGGGTCCACGTTTCGCAAGCGTAGAGAAGGGAGGGAATGACCGTGGCCGAGAAGACCTGAAGTTTAGTGCGGAGCGACAGACCAGGTAGCTTCCACACAGCATTACGCAACCGATGAAAAGATATTGCCGCTCGACTGATTCGGAGTGAGACCTCTGCTGTTAAACTGGAGCCGGTCTTAAGCACACTACCCAGGTAGGGGAAACTCTCCACTCTCTCCACAACTGCCCCATTACCGATTGGGAGTTGTGGGGGTGGAGTGTCCGATGGTACAAAATACCCAGGCAGGTGCTTAGTTTTGGTGGGGCTGATGGTAAGGCCCATCTCTTAGTGGCACGCTCCAGTCTCAGCAGCAGCGTCTCCAACTCCTCCTCTGAATGAGCAGCTATTACCAAATCATCGGCAAAAATAACGTGGTTGAGCAATAGGGAGCCATCCCTTGACCGCACCCGGGCATCGATCAGCCTCCCATTATATCTGTCCCAAATGGATATTCCCCCGGTACAGCTATTGAAGGCTTCACGAACTGCGTGGTCAAAATAGATGTTAAATAATGTGGTAGCCAGAGGACATACCTGTCACACCCCAAGATGTACAAAGAATGGCTCTGACTCCCGGCCACGCAGTTTTACCCGGGCCCGTTCACCATCATGAAGGTCCTTAATGATCGTGAGCAGAGGGTCAGGTACTCCAAAAGCACGAAGAACAACCCAGAGCCCAGGCCTACTGATGGTATCATAGGCCTTGACCAGGTCAACAAAGCAGAGATGTAGGTCTTGCTGGAATTCCCTACACCTCTGCTGGAGCAGACGGACAGAAAATATGGCATCTGTGCAGGACCGCCCTTTCCTGAAACCGCATTGGGGCTCCGCAAGCCTCTCCTCGGCGTGCCTGGCAAGGCGATGTTGAATAATCCTTGCCAGGACCTTTCCCGGCACACTGAGGAGTGAGATGCCCCTGTAGTTGTTACAGTCTGTGCGGTCCCCCTTCTTAAAGAGGGGGACCACCAGAGCATCCTTCCAATTCTGCGGAACCTGTCCAGTGGTCCAGACTGTTGTTATGATGTCATGTAGAGCAGTCTGTGGACAAACGCCACCCTCCCTCAGCATTTCGCTTGGGAGATCATCTCTGCCCGGTGCCTTTCCTGGTCTCAGACTCCGGATCGCCTTCAGTACTTCCTCAACAGATGGCACCTCAGCCAGCCACTCACAGGGGGTGACTTCTTCCAATATTTGAGGCACTGCAGCCTCAGCAGGGTCATCCCCACTTTGTGCCACGATGTTTTCCTGGCTGAGGGATTTCCCCTCCCCCAGGACCTCACAGAAATGCTCAGAAAATCTGCAAACCTGTTCCTGGGGGTCGGAGATTGGATCACCGTTTTTTCCCCTAATGATGGTAATAGGTGTGGCGCTGCAGGTTACTTTTTTGATGGAGTTAAATAGAGATTTGTGATCGCGGGCCACTGAGGCAGACCATCTGCTCAGCAACCCGCGACCACCACCCATCCTTGCAGCGCCTCACGGCTCTCCAAACCTCCGAGCGAAGGCTGCGGTAAGCCTCCTCATTCTCTGACGTGGGATTCTGTAGCCGATGACAGTGGGCCTGTCGCTTTTTCTCAACCATCCTGAACACCTCCTCTGTCAGCCAGGGTCTCTGGCGAGGTCTGGACCGCGTACCCAAAGCAGCCATTGCAGCTGCATGAGTAACAGTCCTAAACCTCGCCCACTTACCCTCAACATCAGGAGGAGTGGGGGACGATGCCAACCCCAGCCGCAAGCGATGATGAAATTCTCGCTTGCAACTTTCATCAGATAACTGAGACCAGGCCACTTTAGGTTGGAATTGGGTCCTGGGTGTACACCCACCACCGGAGTGGAAGAATGGCAGGCGCATCTTACAGATGACTAGTCGATGGTCAGAGGACAGATCAGCTCCACGGTAGGTCCGGGTGTCAAAGACATGGGCTCGCATCCGCTGGTCCATCACTATGTAGTCCAGCAGATGTTCTTGCTATCACCCGGCATGCATCCATGATGTTGTGTGGATGCGCCGATGACGGAATAGCGTGTTGGTAATTACAAGCCCATGGGCTGCACAAAAATCTAGCAGCCTCCTACCGTTGTTATTGAGCTGATCTGGCCCATGCCCTCCAATCACTCCAAACCAGGTGCCAGCATCATGACCAACTCGGGCATTGAAGTCACCCAACAAGATGACTCTATCCCGAGGGGCCACTTTAGCCAGCACCTGTGACAGGAGGTCATAGAAGGCATTTGACTCATCGCCTTTGCCTGCATCCCTCCACGGATGTTCGTCTTCAGTGGGGGCATAAGTAACCACGACCACCACTCCTCGCCTCCGGTTGATGGGAAGGCGAGCCCAAAGTAGCCTGGGGCTTACAGCTTCCCACACCTCACCGCCACGCTCCCACGCCCCCTTCATTCTTTTGTTCAAAAGAAGAGCCACACCCTGTTGTTTGGCGGTCTGCTGCCCCGAGTAGAGGACTGTCCACCCCTCATGGTGGCAGGAGCCAGAACCGGTCCACCGGGCCTCCTGAATGCCACAGAGATCCAGGCGGTACCGGTCCTGCTCCCGACAGAGGAGTGGCAGCCTCTTCTCCGCAGTGAGCGTTCAAACATTCCACGTGGCCACCCGAAGTGGCTTTTCATTGTTTCTGGAGGAGCCCCGAGGGTAGAGATTCAATCTCCTGGCTCCGCCAATTGGGGTTTGGTCAGGAGACGTCATAGACGCCTGTCCCCCTGGGGCCTCCGGCACAAGCTTATTAGTTACACACAGACACACACAGACACACAGAGACACACAGAGACACACAGATACACATAGAGATACACACAGAGACACACAAACACACGTAGATACACATAGAGACACACAGATACACACAGAGACACACAGATACAAAGAGACACACAGAGACACACACAGAGACACACAGACACACACAGAGACACACAGACACAGACAAAGATACCCCGAGTAGAAGCGCCTATGAAGGCTACTGGCACTGTGGCACACACAGAGGGGGTGGGTGGCCAGCACCACGCCCGGCCGCCTTTGTCTCTCCCAGTGGCGATGTTTACTACACACCATGGCACCAGGTACTCATTTGAGGCTGAGTCGACCGAGGGGACCAGTTCAGATAATCATATAGTAGTGTAAAGTGTAGTGTATAGTAGTGTATAGTGTATTCTAGATTTGAAACTTTCGTGACTGCAAGGATCCATACTCTTTGGTTCTATTCGATAAAGTCACGTAGGCGTCCATGTACCAGGTGCCTCTGTGGATGTGTAGGCTTTGACTTTA